TAATATTAAGGTGTGAGTTTGTAGAGTTCTAATCATGTTCATTATCCTTTCCTTTTGAGCAGGTGTTTTAGCAGCCTTCATGCGTCTATAAAATAACATTTTTTCTATAACAAATAGAAAACAAAATTTTTGTTCATTTATCAAATAAAGGTGAACTATATTTGAAAAATAAATTTATTTACACATATTTATGGCTTAAAAGCTAAACATATACCCGCAATTTCATACCAAGTATGCATTCTATTTTTTTTTTTTTAAAAAGAAAATCATATTGTTAGAACCTATACATGCGTCTCCACGTGCCTTCATGCGCTGACAAGCATTGGCTACAGTCCCCACGCATCGGCATGCACAGGATTGTCACCTCACCCTTAATTTCAAGTGAGGTGATGGTCCTACGAGTGTCGGCGCGTGGGGATTGTAGCCAACATGTGGCACATTGATACCAGCATGTGGCGGCACGTGGCAGTGCATGTGTAAGTTCTAACAATATGATTTTTCTTTTTTAAAAGAATAGAATGCATATTTGGTATGAAATTGCGGGTATATTTTTTGTTTTTAAGCCATAAATACGTGTAAATAAATTTATTTGTCAAATATAGTTAACCTTTATTTGATAAATGAATAGAATTTTTTATTTTTTTGTATTTGTTACAGAAAAAATGTTATGTTATAGGTGTGAGGGCTACTAAAACACCCGCTTAGAAGGAAAGGATAATGACCATGATTAGAACTCTACAAACTCACACCTTAATATTAAAAGACACAGAGGATGAGTTGGTGCAATTAGTGAATCATTTCATTCATGTGAATAAAATGATGCAAGAAATTGTCTAGCACGGAAGATTAATGAGAGATGAGATGAAGTACAATGTCCTTAGAGAGACTCTTAATTACCTTAGTCTCGTTGGTCTCCTTGATCTGGTTTGGACCAAGCTCGAAGATCAAAACCCTAAAGATATTGATAAAGGTTATAAACATTTAGTTAACAAATAGATCAAGGAGTACATAGATATAGGTGCCAGAAAGACGGTTAGTGTATCTATTAGAGTCCTAACTTGTAAAGGACATCACAAGAGATTAGAAGTTCCCTTGCCTATGATGGCTTACAAGTTAGATAATGACCTTAGAATAAAGCTTCTTAGATCCTTCTTAGTTTGTGGGATATGGCATTACAATTGGAATTTTTTTTTTTTTTTTTGGAAATATGTTTGTTTTATGTCAATACATGATGAATTCTATTTATGCAATGAAATTAGTTTTATTTACATTTTTTAGAAATATTTTAAATCATCATTTGAATGAGAATCGTATGTTCATTAAGTACGTTTTTTTAAGTTTTTTCATAACTTTATAAGAATTCCTTACACAATTAAATTATATTAACGATAATTAAATTTTAGTATTTTAGATGATGATTGTTGACAAAAAAGTGAACAGTTGATTCTAAATCTAATATAAGATAATTGTTGATATAATTAATTGATGTTAAGGAAATATGTGTATGTTCCGAGCATTGAATAACGTCATTATCCTATGTGTATATATATATTTTTTTAGAAATGACATATGTATCTAAGAACATTGTCGCCGAACTTAATCAAGGAGAAAAGTTTAATGGCGAAAATTATGAGATATGGAGCATGAAAATCCAATATGTCTTGGAAGAACATGAGATTCTTGAAGCTCTTACCACGACCATGGAAGAGCCTAAAGAAGGAACCACAGCTCAACATAGAAGAGACTGTGCGGCTTATGACATGTGGAAGAAAAAGAATTTCACTGCTCGCATCACTTTGTTGAGCAGCATGGACAATGATCTCGTGAAAAAGTACCGGGAGGATGAATTAGCAAAGGACATGTGATCCACCCTTGCTACAAAGTTTGGAGGTATGTCTATTAAAAACTTTGGTCACTTACAATCAAGTTTGACACATATAAGAAAAACCCTGAACATACTATGAGAGTACACTTAAGGCACTTGTCAAACATGATTAGCGAGTTGAGAGATGTAGGTCATGTCCTAACTGATGAACAACAAGTTCAAGCTGTCATAAGATCATTGCCTCAAAATTGGGAACACATGAAGATACACCTTACCTATAATGGGAGCATTAAAAATTTAGAAGATGCCACATGACATTTAGAATTGGAAGAAGATCGCCTTAATGCTAGTAACGCAAATACTGATGTTTATATGATGGGTTCAAATTCACATGGTGAGAAGGGATTTAAACGTAAATTCCAAGGTGAATCCCAAAGAAGAGGCAATAATAATAAGGCTCAAGGAAATAAAAGAAAGTTTTATAAACACAGAAAAGAAAAACATCTTGCCAAAAAGAAAAACATGGCAAAGGTGAAATGTTATAACTGTGGCAATAAGAGACATTTTGCTCGTAATTGTAGCTAGCCCAAAAAGGTAAATTACTTGTTTGCACAAGTAAGTTCTATAAATGTTTCCAACTCTGTTTTTCTATATGAATCTTATCCTTCGTGGACTGTAGATTTAGCAGTTACAGACCACATAATGAAAGACATGAGTGCTTTCATGGAGTTTCGACGAATACCACGGGAAACAAAGTGGATATATATAGGTAACAATTCAAGAGTGGAAGTTAAGGGGATCGACACATGCAAATTGATCATACGTGAAGGTCGAATCCTATACCTACACGATATATTATATGCACCCGATATTCGTTGAAATTTAATTTTCGTGTTAGAACTTATTAAATTAGGTTTTAATTAAAACTTTTCAAGTATTGATGTCCATTTATTTTTTGACACAAATTACTATGGTTATGATTATATTTCTGATGGTTTTATTGTACTAGATATTGATTATAATTATAGTTATGTTTATTTTTCTTTAAGCATAACTGGTATAAAAGAAAACCTCCTGATATGGATTGTAAACTTAAAAGACAAATTAAAAGTGTGGTTTCGACCATAACAATCTGCTACTGCTATCAGTATAAGTCAACCATCCTCAATAACTAGTTTAAGAGAAAAGCTCTTGGTATGGATTGTAAACTTAAAAGACAAATTAAAAGTGTGGTTTCTATTGTGTTATATCATAAGTTTCAAACTTAAAATAGTATATTGATACATGTGTCTGGAATTTGTCTGTGTCTTAGATAATTGATTCTGAAGTCATAAAGACGGATAGAAATGATTTTAAATTCTTTTTTGGGTTAAAAAAAGGGTTTAAGTATATGAATAAACACAAAATATCAATGGAAAAGAATATCGAATTAAAGATAGTTTATTACCTTTAAGAAGATTTGCCCCACAATTAATGTAGAAGTTGGGACGGCTGCCTACCTGGAGAAAATACGAGAAACATAATTTATACATAGGGAAATCCGAGTTCAAGAGTTTACCAAGTCCTATTCAACAAGAGTTGGATATAATGGACATAATTAAGCTTACCTCAGCACAGTTGCACAGCCTTCGATAACACGAAGAGAAGCAGTGTCACCAATCATCACCTTCCGGAATGGAGGAATCATACCCACCAGAAACCCAACCATTTAGTCCACAGAAAAAAACCAGTCTTTTTAGCAAGTTAGACAATGATAAAATGATCCTTCTTTTAATTAATTATTACCAACTGTACCTCGTCAATTTTTGATAGTGACAAATAATGCAATTACACAAGAAGTACACCAAACTTAAAAAGAATATTCCAAAAGAACCTGCTTTACCTGCCATTTCATCTGGTAGCTCACTTATACTTTACACAGTAAATATGACGGTGAGAAAAAAAAAAAAATCCAATGCATTTTGATGATAAATAAAACAAAATGAACATCTCAGTGTAAATGATATTATCATGTAGAAGCTAAATTCATTAACTGTCATAGTTCCAATCTGAATAACTTTCGACCTCTATGCCATAAAAAACAATATTCCATATTTGTTAATGAAAAAGAAATCTTGCAAAGAAGTGATGATATTATTACAACTATATAAGCATAAATACCAGTGTGTAATTGTTGTAGGAACAAATCAGATTCATCTTCATTGCAAATGCTAGGAGACATTGCTTAATCTTCTGTGAAATTGATGATAATGGCTGCAAGTAAAAAAGCTCTCAAAGTAAAGATATAATTGCTTCAAATTGAGTATCCTATCAAAAAGGAAAAGAAAAATATAACAAGACCTTTTAACTTTAAATTCAAAGCCTTTAAGAAATCCATTATTTTTCTCAACTATGGCAACTTAATATTTGTATATTTACCACTAAATAGTTAATATACACTACAACAGAATATTGAAAAGTAAAATTTCCCCTTGTAGATCAAAAACCTTTGGCCTCCACTGAGATATAATGTTATCAAGTTCGAACTCAACCAAATGGTGTTGACTTTCAGCTGTTTCTTCAACTGGTTCTATCCTCCCTGCGTAATCATCTAAAATTACAATTTCAGGATTACAGTTACAAGTTAGCAAAATGAAAGAACATCTTCAGAATAACCAAATCCCAATGCCCCACAAATGCCTTCGGTAACTTTTAAGAGTATCCATCCAAGTACTGATCCAATGATGGTGATGAGAAGAACATTAAATTGCATAAACCACCTGCGTAAAGATAGCAAAAGGGTGAAAATAGAATGTAAATTTAAGGAATTTATTGCCATAAATTTTGGTAAGAAATTAAACAAATTAATTTACAACATGCTTATGCTATTCACTGTTATGTATTTTGCCTCAGATTACAACATGCTTATGCTATTCACTGTTACAACATGCGCAGCGAAAAAGAATTCAACAAGTCTGATCATGTTGAATTGTTATGCCTCAGATTGTATAGGTCAATATATATACCGATAATTTGGAGGAAAGAAAAATGATGAAATTGAAGATGTAAGTTGAGTCTGTTCTCTTTAGAGAGTGAGTCCTATAATTATAAATGACTTGAAGAACGAGTCAAATACGCGGGGAAGGATCAGAATATCACGGAGAAATTGCAATCGGTTAAGATTTTAGTAGATATATCACATATGCCCCTATGGCATTTTTTATTAATTAAGATAGATTAATACTGTGATACAAATCCTAAATAATTCGTCACGTAATGTGATCTGAATGACACATATAACATTACATATTGCTAAAGGACAATGGAAGTTTCTTCAGGAATTTGACGCAGCCACAACATGCTTTCTAAAAGCTTGGAGATTAGAACGCAATTTGTCTGGAGGAGGTAAAATCTCTTTCACCCATGAAACTTCAAGAAAATTCTTGGACCATGCTTCAAGATTTGGCATTGAAGTTTTATCAATCAAGTTCAAACCAGTTATTTCTTCACAAAAGGGAGTCCAATATGCAATCCATCCAAACACGATGTCCAAGAATCCGGCACACTCTCCACCGAAGAACTTCTTTCCATCAAGTAACTTGTCAAGAATCTTCAGGTTTTCTACAGCTTCATTTCTTATGTTTTCGAGTTCAAATCCAGTCTTCGAGAAAATTTTGACGTAAATTGTCCAAATCTTCAAAACAAAAACAAAAATTATCAAGGTCAAGACTTTTCAATCAAACTCTGAATAAATAATAAGACATATATATATGACTAATTGCTTACCTTGTCGTCTCCAAATTTAGCCCAAAACCTTGCCATAGCTCTCTGATAAGGATCCTCTGGCAGAATTGGATTCTGAGTCCAAGTTTCATCGATATATCCAAGAATGACTAGTGACTCAGCAATGGGATTTCCTCCATGCAAAAGCACAGGGATCTTCTTGTGCACTGGATTGTACATGAGAAGGCGCTCACTCTTGTTGAAGAGATCTTCATCTATGTATTCGTAGCTGATTCCTTTGCGTTTCAGCGCCCATTCAATTCTGAGAGCAAGAGGACTCGCCCACATCCCCAGTAGCGTTACTTCTTTCGCCATATTGATTATTTTCCTCCTCTTTGCCTGTATGCATTTTATTAAAGCCTAAGCTCATATATTTATAGCAACGATGGAGTTACTTAAGTGACTTGACTTGGCTAGATGCCTAAAAGATGAAACGAATGTCGACATTTTAGCGAATTGTTAATGTTATAGCCGTCAATGAAGACCACCATAGAATATTGGAGGGGTGTGTTTATTTATGAATTTTGTGCTTTTGTTTTCTCTTTTATCTTTTAAATATTAACAAATGAAGACCTCCATCCTAGCGGCGACAACCCACCTCCATCTTGTCGTTGCACGCCCCCACCACCACCCTATGGCACCCCGTACCTCGCCCAACCCACTTCTCTTTCCACCCCATTGCCCATACCTCTCACAGCCTTACAACCGCCCATCCCATTTTCTTCACATTTGTTTCCTTAAAAAAATTCTTGTTTTTAAGCATTTCGGTGTTGATTATGTGACCGTGCGAGTTAGGAATATGTTGTTGCTTTGGTGTTGTGGGTAGGGATTGTATTGATGGTTTCTTGGGGGAAGGTTACTAGTTGCTTGCGTTAATTGGTTAAGAGGAAGAAAGACTGATTTGCGTGAAGATGAAATGAAACACAAACCTCATCGGACGGCGACTATACTGATGCTGGCGGCGGTCGATTTTGGCAAACGGGTGGTCGATTGAAGAATGCGACAAAGACTGAAGCTGGCGAAGTTCGGTTGTCGTCGATTAGAGATGCCGAATGAAAAAGGGTTTTGGAATTTAGGGATTTGAGTTAACCTGGTTTTTTGCCAAAACCGGTTGGACCGAAAGTTTAGCTACAGTAAAACCGGTCCAATCACAGGACATACCGGGTAAAAATTGTATATAACGATTTTTAACCCTTTGAAACCCGACCCAGGCATCGGTTCTCGATTAAACCAGTCTAACTGGTCCACTTAGTATATTATATATTAAACTTTGTATACATATTAACGTGTGTTTAGTTCAGAGAATGTTATATTAATAGAAAAATAGATTACCTTGAATATTACTAGGAATGTTTAAGGAAATGTATTTAGTTGATTTGAATAAATTGATAGGTATGTTATATTAATATGTTTGCTTGGGAAAAATGAATTGATGGGTATATTATATAATTTATTAAATTACTCTTATTTTTTAATATTAATATAATATTATTTTTTGAATAATTTTTAACCCCTATGTAATTTACCAAAAAAGTTTAAAACTTAACAAAAATACTCTTATCCACATCAAGTCACTACTGGCTACTTGTCACCATCGTCGACGACGACGACAACAGTGGTCGAAACTGCTTACGATCGGTCAGATCTGACTGACCGTGCGTTGATCCATTTCCGATAAAATTCACATGGATCTGATTGAAAATGGCTAGATCTACGACTAAAATTGATCGTCATTAACGGGCCATTGTTATGGTCGTTAACAACCAAAAGTCGTAGAGCAAACACACCCTTATATTATGTTTCAATCATCAATAACCACATTTATCTATGAGATATTACTTCATTTAATAGAAAAAATAAAAATAAAAAAAAGGTGGGTCAAACAAAAAATAACAACCCTTTGAAAACTTAAACCATATTAAGCAATACTTTATGCCAGGATCAAAATATATAAAAGGTTAATAATTAAACACCATCATTCTCGCAAACATTTAAAAATCTAACTTAGATTCGATTTTGAGTTCTTTGCGACATTGAATTGAAGCCTGAGCTCATATCTTTATAGTAAGGATCGAGTTAATTGACTTGACTCCGCAACAGGGTTTGAATATTATAAGGCATGTCGACATTCTTGTGAAATGGAGCAAGCGGCCGGCAATGAAGACGACACCTTACCTTGCAAGAACAGAAAATACATAACGCATCTGAAATTATATTAAAAATCTATGATTGACCAATCTTATTTGCGAAATTTGTTACAATTTTTTTGACCATCTTAACCAATCTTATTTCACGAAATTTGTACTAAAATTCTAGGAGGTGTACTTACTGAAATGTGAGAATGTGCATAATGTTAAAATTAACTTTTAAGAATATTCTATAAAAAAATTTAAACCTAAGTTTTTAACTTAAATTTTGACAATATTTAATAACCGTACTTCTAAACCAATCGAACGAGAACAAAGAAGGAAAATTTTCTACTGCTTTCTCAACATGCCATTTTCAAATTATTAGATTGATTGGGATTTCGGATGGATAATCAATAATGTTAAAATTTTAAAATAAATAAAAAATTTAGTTAAGTGGTATTGCTGACATAATATCACAAGATCATGCATGCATGTTAAGTAGTTATTTATATTAATTACAATTAATTTAAAGATAGAAGAGGGAAAAAAAAAATTTCACATATGACATAAACTCACTAGAGAGACGTAACCAGAAACTCATTCTAAAAGGGTCAAGATGTTAATTAAACTTAACGATATAACCGTAAATAAACTTATAATAAATATTATATTGAGTATAAGTTATAAAAAAATATATGTATTTATTTATAATTCTCTTTATAATTAATATATTTATGATTATGTTTGACAATATAGAATAAATTTATAATATTTTAACGAGTGTAAAACAAAACCAAGAAAATTTACTAAATAAACAAGTTATCAAGCCAATACAAATGACAACACCTTCAAATTAAACTACAGTAAAATTTATATTAATAAAATATTTAAAAATTTATCTAGCTTTTATAGTAAAATATTATAATTTTTATTGTAATTTCACTTTTATGTTTCGACCCCTTAAAATAATGTATCAATTTACAATTTTTTTATAATTATCTTTTTTTGCTAACTTCAATATTTTGATATGACTCATCTGTGGGTAATCCAAATAGTTTAGAGATTTAGAGATAACATATATAGACGCACAATCTCAATTTTGATTCTCCATTTGAAGATCAGCAATTTAAGTAAGGTACAATAACAAAGGGTTGTAAGTTAGCCCTTGCAATAATAATAATAATAATAATAATAATGATAATTTTTCAAAGTCAAGGAGTCACTTTGACCCCTCTCCCTCGATCCCTTTGTATTCGATTTTCTCCTCAAGGAACTAGAACAATGTAAATGATATATATTTTTTATATGTTTTAATAGTACATTGAGAAATCTAGGAGTGAGCACAGGTAGTAAGTAGAACTGGAACCAAAACCGGAACCTACCCGGAACCAATACTGTGCAGGTAGGTTTCGGTTCCATTTTATTGGAACCGATATTGTATGATTCCGGTTCCGGTTCTTATGTGTGGAGGAACCAGAACCGGAACCTGGAAAAAGAACCTGAAACGGGTACTTGGTTTGGAATCTGTAGCGGGTACCCGATTTAAAACCTATTTGGAACCGATTTTTGAAACTTGGGCTGCAATGAAATATTTGTGAATAATGGGGGGTTTCATTATTTTACATATAAAAAAATTTAAAATAGAAAAATTTGAATTTTTAAAACAACCTAAATAAATAAATATACAATTATATTTATTACATATAAACTACACCATATTAAAAAATTTAACATTAAAGTTTTAATTAATTAAGTGTATAATTAGAATTAGGATCCAGTTAAAAGTGTTTTAATGTTATTAAAAGAATTATTTTTGAATAAAATAGTATATTTGATTTAATAATAATATATCTTGTTATTTACTTCAATTATCAAGTTGTAAGTATATCTATAGTAAATTAGCAATTAATTAATTATATATGATAAATTGATAAATATTAATAAATTTAATAACTATTTAAATATCATACTTAATCAATTATAACATTACATTACAGTTAAATGATTACTTAATTAATTATAATTTTATAACAATACTTAATTGATTTATAGTATAATTAATTATAGCATTACATTAATTGATTACTACTTAATTAATTGACTTATAACATTTAGTATATTACTTAATTAAATAATTAAAAATTTAATTAATTATAGCATTACATTATAGATTTATAGTATAATTACTTAATCAATTATAACATTTCACTATAAACATTAGTACAATACTTAATTAAATGATTAAAAATTTAATTAATTATAATATTATATTAAAAATTTATAATATGATTACTTAATTCACTATAACATTACATTATACTATAATCACATAATTTATTATAACATTACATAATTAAATGATTACTTAATTGATTATGACATTATATTATAAACATTAGTACAATACTTAATTAAATGATTAGAAATTTAATTAATTATAATATTACATTATAAATTTATAGTACGATTACTTAATTAATTGTAACATTAGATTATAATTAAAGGATTACTTAATTATTTATAACATTATATTATAAACAAATTAATTATAATATTATATTAAAGATCTATAGTATGATTATTTAATTCATTATAACATTTCATTATAGTATGATTACATAATTAATTATAACATTACATAATTAGATGATTATTTAATTGATTATGACATTATATTATAAACATTAATTATAACATTATATTATAAACAAATGATTACTTAATTAAATAATTAGAAATTTAATTAATTAAACATTACATTATATTTAAATAATTACTTAATTAAATTATAACATTATTACATTACATTATATTATATTATGATCAATTAATTATAGTATTACATAGTTAAATGATTACTTAGTTAGTTATGAATTTATAACATTACATTATAAACATTAGTAATTTACTACATTATTACATTACTTAATTAAATGATTAAAAATTTAATTAATTATAACATTACATTATAGATTTATAGTATGATTACTTAATCAATTATAACATTCAATTATACACATTAGTATATTAATTAAATGATTAGAAATTTAATTAATTACAATATTAAATTATAGATTTATAGTATGATTACTTAATTCATTATAATATTACATTATAGCATGATCACATGATTAATTATAACATTACATAATTAAATGATTATTTAATTGATTATGACATTATATTATAAACATTAGTAATTTACTACATAAACATTAGCACAATACTTAATTAAATGATTAAAAATTTAATTATTTATAACATATTAATATTACATTATAAATTTATAGTACGATCACTTAATTAATTGTAACATAATTAATTGTAACAGTACATTATAAACAAATGATTACTTAATTAAATTATTACGTAATTAATTCTAACTTTCTATATTTTTGTCTATTTAAATGATTTTGGTAAAGTTATTTGATGTGAATTGTGATGAATAATTATTTGTGTTTTGATTTTGATTGAGGAATTTATGTGAATTGTGATGAATTAATTGAATTCAAGTGTTGTTTAGAGATTAGATGATTTATGAGTTACATTGGACACAAATGAATGAGTAATTAAAATTTTTTAGGGGTGTATTTATAAACTTTTAAGGTATTTTTGTCATTTTTTAAACTAATTATGAGGTACTTAATTTTTACAGGGTACCCGGGAAAAAAACCGAAACCTGCATTTTAGGTTTTGGTTTCTTGAATTTAAGAACCTGTACTGTGTGATTTCGGTTCCAGTTCTTTTTTTATTTGGAACCCGTATTGTGTAATTTCAATTCCACTTTTCTTAAAAAATGAAAGGTATCCGAAACCGCTTACCCTAGAGAAATCTGGTAATGGAAATGGGTTATAATTATGAGATAATAAAACTCTATTTGTTTCTGAGTGGAGTTGGATTGTCTTAAGTCACGCTTAGCCAAACCC